CTTGTACTTGGGAGAAGTTTCTAGAACTCCAAACTGTTCACAGTAGTTAGCTGTAGGTGGTAGAATGGCTGGTGATTTAATCATCTGGATGCTTCCCTATATTTTCAAACGTAAACATGGTTTTTATGCTTTTATGCTCAAAAATTACCGTCCAAATGTCGGGGTGCCTCTTCTACCCCTGTGACCCGGGCACCTTGGCCATTCCCCTGCTTCCAGGCAATGCTAATACTTGAGCGGGTTGCTCTGTGCACATGCTGAGGCTTCCTGGAAACCATTCCAACACCAGCTGGGTGAAGTTTTCCTCCTCGAAACCAATCGATCTCACTCTACAGCTGCATCCCCCTCACTTAGCACATGCTTTGGCAGAACCCACCCCCCTAAATGCTATCCCGAATTCAAAGTATTTCTTAACAGCAAAGCCAGTTCTCCTTTAAGGCAATTTGTTGGCTTAACCTGTTGAGGCTGCAGTTTTCCTCACTAGTCCTTGAAGAAAATCCTCACAGATTGAGTTCCTTCTGCCCTTAGCCTTTGGCATTGCAGTAGGGAGGCAGGACTCAGAAGAGAGAAGAGCTCAGTGCTGAGTGACAGTGACCAGGGGCCAGAATATATCCTCTTTGGGCCTCAGTTTCCTTGTTCGCAAGAGAGACGAAGTTGGGCTTTCAGGCTTCCCCCAGCTCCTCTCCTGCCTCAGACACTCTCGCTCTATGACTAATCCATCCTTAGACAGAGGATCTGGAGCTGGCATGATTAGAGAGCAATTGTTCTGGGACCCAGACGAGCACGGCTCATCGCCTGCTGGGGTCCAAGTGCACCAAGCCCTGTTGTTACAGAGAACGTCTCTACTAGCCAGAGCAGGGACGGCTAAATGGACACCGTGAAATCGAATTCACCCTAATCCACCAGCTTTCTCTCCCTGCCCAAGCTCTGGCCCTGTACACTGGGCCTCTCCCACATCTTCTGTACTTTCTGGGGCTCAGCAGCTCATCTGGGCAGCCTTCCAGCTCTGGCCAGAAGCAGGGCTGCCCAGGGCTCCACTGCCCATTAGCGGGAAGGTGCCCTACTGGGCAGGGAGGAGGAGGCTGGAGCCTGGGCTGAAAGGAGGGCAGAGGCCATTGGTAAAGATTAGAAAAGAGAAAATCACCCCCCTGACAGCCGTGGGGAGCCTGCTCCATAAATCCTACAGCTTCCCGGGGCAGACTCAAGATGCACAGGGCTTCCTGATTTAAGGCATCAGTTACACAGGCCTCAATTCGAATGGAGCCTCTGCTCCTGGCAAGCTGTTTGGGCAAATTATTGAAGCTCTCTGAGGTTCAGACTCCAGTTTATCTATACAATTATCTATAGAACAGGGAGAACAGTAACGTCTACCAGTGAGAGGCTACACACATTAAGTGAGATGAAGCGTACTAAACATCATGCCCAGCACACAATCATTAAGAGCTGAAAAACAAAATAAAACCTAAAGACCATCCCAGGATCCCGGAAAAGCACTGGCTGGAGCCAGGATAGGGAAGATTGAAGTGTTAAAGCTGAAAGGCGCTTCAAAAACCTCAAATTCAATCCCTTCCTTTGTTTAACAGAGGAAGAAAGAAAAAGGTTCAGAGAGGTCAAATAACTTTTCCAAGGTTGCACAGCTAGTTAGTCACAGAGTACAGTTCAAAGTCAGGTCTAATTCTCTAACACCTGCCTCCCCTTCACCCCACCCCAACCCATCTGTTCAAAGACATCCTTTGTTAGGGTCTCCTTCCCACAGAGAGGGTTTTACATAGGGAACCCCTGTTGGCATTCTACCCAATAACTTGCCTTCTGAAGTAGGCATCAAATTGCCATAAGCTTGTGGGAGCTATGCAAATGATATGCAAAACACATGCAAATAACCACAGGTTATTGATGAATCGGCAGTTTGCACTTTTGTTACATGTAACTAGATCACACTACAGGATGTGAATTGCTTTTCTTTTTTGGTCCTCTGCCAAGTGGAAGGAAATAAAATTTGTGGCTGACTGACCAGCCCTCTGCCCAAACCATGCCTGGCTTGGTGCAGGCCTCAGCTGACTCCTGTCATCCAAACACCCAATACATGCCTCACGCTTGGCCAGGATTACTTCCTGGAGCCAGCCCAGGGTACAGCTGCCTTGGACTGGCTTGTCCAGGCAGGGAGCAGGGTGCCTGGGCACATCTGGCGGAGAAGTGTTCTCATGGACAAAGGTGCCCCTTAACTCCAGATGGTCAGAGAGGGGCAGAGCTAGGGGACCTGGCAGTGACAGGGCAGGTCTAACCTCCATGTTCCCTACTTTGGGAACTGGGCCTCAGTATCCTTTTTCCAATTCAACAGAAGGCTCCCCCTTGATGGGAATAGACTCCCAGGTGTGAGACTGATGGAGCTACATCTGAGCTGATGGGGACAGCTGTGGCCAGAGTCTGGAGGGGAAAGGGGAGACAGAACTTGTTGAGGACACAAGGCTTGCCATTTGGAAGGCTTTCTTGGAGCTTAACAATATACACTCTGGAAACCCAGGCAGCTCTATTCAGTCAAGGGTTCCTAGTTGCCTGCTGTGTCCAGACATTGAGCAGCATTTTGAAAAATTTGTCAAATAAGTAAGAGGTAGCCAATTACAGCCCCCCACCACCCACCCCCAGCAGAGAGGAAACAGATAACAAAGCTTAGTAGGACATTAGCATGCCCTGAAAGTGTTTTACGTGTATGTTTGTGTGTGTTGCCCGTACAAAAGCATGAATGTACGTTTGTGTGTGGGTGCAGGGGTACATGGGCTTTCCTCTCCAGCCCCACGTTGAATCATTCGTCACTAATGACAGTAAAACTACAATCATAGGCCTACTGTTTATTGATTACTTATTAAATGGTTTCTATGTACGAGCTCAGGATATTCTTCCAGAAACCCTAGAAAGTGGGTACTATTTTAAGTTCACCCTTTCACAGATGGGACAGCTCTTGGTCTCTTGGCGTCATAGTCCTGTAGGAAGTTGAGCCACTAACCCAGAGACCACAGATTCCACCAGAGGTTCAAATCCCACCAGTGGGTTGGCGTGAAAAGTTAAACAATCTCTTCCCATGTGATTTACAGCCTCTAAAAACTTGTTGGAGGGTCAGCTATGAATCAGTTCCAATTTGACAGCAATGAGTTTTTTGAGTTGTTTACATAAGGAAACTAAGAGATTACACAAGTGATTTTTCCCCCCACGTCACATAGCCAGAAATCCATAGCAAGGACTTGAAGCCAAGCCAGTATCACTAGCTTTTATGCACACCCATACCTGTCTCTCCCCTTGGAAGAGCCGCCAGCTCCTTGAGGCAGGAGCTGGCGGCAGCAGGGTTGCTTCCTGGAGAATCAGGCTGTGATCCCTGACAGTACATCGCATCCCCACCTGGCAGGAGAGGCCATGACCTCCCCAACGTCAGGACCAGGCCTCTGCTCAGCTCCGTCCCCACTCAGTAGACAGACTTTCTCCAACAGCCTTCCTGGGTCTGCACATCTGTGAGAGTTTCCTAATGTGGCAACACTTTGCTGTAATGGCCACACTCAGAGGCCCAGCCCATCCTAATGGACTGAGACCAGCTCATTCTGCAACAAGAGCTTAGGAACGATAGCAGCAGCCACACACGTGCCATGTGTCTGGGGTCTCAGGGCCTGACCTGGGACAAGTCTGGGCTGCCTCCTGTGCTCTTTTCCTCTCCCCTTCAGTCCACCTCGTCAGAGAGACCAGGAGGTCATGAAAAATAGAGAGACTGGCCTGGAGGTGCTGGGGGAATCGGGAAAGCAGCGGTAGAATTAAGATCTTGCTCCCAGCCACTTTAGGGGACCCTCTGGGCCTTTATCTGCTGCTGTTCTGCCTCATGAAGAAAAAAAAATGTACAAGAAAAGGTTTGGAAAGGTACACATGCACAATTGTAATGCAAAGGGGAGAATTGTGGGTGCCTCAGCTTGCCTGGGAAAGCAGCCAAGTGAAGCCAGAGGTTCTGAGTCCAGAGTCTCAGATATGGAAGATGGGCCAGGCTTGGCAGGTGCCAGAGATGGCCAGAGCTCCCCAGTCGAAAGAGAGCTCTACTACTGACAAGAATTTAAAGAAGGGACAAACACTTTGGGTAAGAGTGTCCTAGCAAGGCCCAATCCCTGGCAGTCCGCCCAGGCACTCACTGGCACTTGGTGGCCCAGGCAGTGCCTGGTGATTAGATTATGGCCTGGCAGGCCCGGGCAGGGAGCCCCAACATGCCCTGGACACCCACACCCAGGAATGACACCACCAGGTCACCAGCCCTAGGGCTGCCTGGGAACAGTGTACTTCACTGTGATAGGCAAAGTTACACACGGTTTTGCAAAGAAACTGGAATGTTAAGAGCAGACATCAGCATGGCTCCCTGCTCCTGCTGGTAGCAACAGAGATTCCCAAAGTGAGAGCTGAGCAGAGGTAATCAGAGCACTTGGGTTCTGCTGGACAGCCCAAGGGTGGAGCTGGCTAGTACAGATACACAAGAATCAGAGCACATGGAAGTGTCTTCAGAAAGACTGCCTGCCTGGTTGACGAGCGGCAGGCACTCCAGGGTGTTCCTGGGTCCTCACACTGCCCCAGCTTTCAACTCTGCACCATCTGCTCCCTGCGTTCTAGTGTGGTTCAGCCCGTTTCCACCCACTGGAAGCCTGTCTCTGTGGCCCCTCCAAACCCACCACCACCTGACAAGCAGCCTCAGGCTCCCTGGCTCTGTCAGCAGAACAGCAGAAGTGTCCACTCTGGGGTCTTGGCCTGTACGAGCTTTCTGGTCCTCAGTCACCCAGCCCTCTCCTGCTTTTTCAGCTACCACCCAGCCTGGCCCTGCACAGCAGAGGACAAGAAAGTGGCACCATTTCCCAGCACAATGCCTCCAGGATGCCAGCCAGCCTGGGGGTCATACAACCCTGCCTTTTCATCCTTCTTAAATGGCTCCCAAAGCCACCAGCATGGGGGTCGATGTGATGGGCACCTTCAACCTGCCCTGGACTCACCGGAGTGGGATCTTGACACGGAGGTAGCGGTCCACTGCGATTGCCAGCAGGGCCAGGATGGAGCTCTGGGTGAGGATGAGGACAGGACAGGCGACCATGAGGCAAGTGTGGAAGTAGGTCTGTGGCCCAATGTTGATGAGGATGGCGAGTGGGATGACCAGGGCGCCCACGGCCACGTCAGCCACCGCCAGAGAGACGATGAAGCAGAAGGTGGCATCCCGCAGCGCCTGGTTCACTTTCACCGCCCAGATCACCAGCACGTTCCCAGGTACGGAGACAAGGGCGATGAGCACCTCAATGCCAATGTATGCGGCCTGGAAGGCCGTGATGGAGGGCGCCATGGCGGGCACGGGGTGGGCACATCAGCAGGCAGGCACCGAGGGGCGCAAGGCAGGCACCTGTGGTCACGGAAGCCTGGGGTGGGGAGGCCCGCCTGGGAGGGGCAGGGGAGCCCAGGCGCTCGGGGCTCCCGCTGCCCATGGGAGCCAGGGGCCCCACTTGGCACAGCCAGTGCTTGTGCTGGCTGATGGGGGTCCCAGGGTCCTTCCCCAGCCTAATCTCTATCTCCTCCCCTCATTACCCTGAGAGGGTTCATCCAGCAACTTAAAATAGCAAAGCTGGCTGCTCCAAGGACTTTCTTCTTATCAGGTGTGAGCCAGCTCCCAGCAAACGCACACACATACCCTACCCAGGGGTCCCCCAGGCCTGGCTCTGCCCACCCGTGCCCAGTAAACAGGAGGCAGGGAGCTCACCATCCTGCCTGCTGGCCGGCAGGGGGTCACAGAGGCGGTGCCCAAAGTTGCGGGCACCTGGAGCCGCCCAGAGCTCTGGGGCTGCGCTGGCCAGGGCTGGGCTCTGGGCACCTCGCGGCAGCTCATCGTCCTCTGGCTCCCGCCGCAGCGCTCCCAGCCCGGCCTTTCAAGCAATCACATGGTGCAGAGAGGCTCAGCCCAGGACGCTTTTAAAGAGGTAGGCGCCCCCGTTTCGCACCTGGGACTAGGGTGGCAGGCGTGGGTTTGGGAGACTGAGCCCAGGACAAGGCCAGAGGGTGAGGGGCAAGCTCCCCAGATCCCAGCATCTGCGCACATTTGCCCTGCGCCCACCCACTTGAGACACTGCTGGTGCCTGGCTCCTAGCTGTCCCCCCAGTCCCGCTCCAGTTCTGCCTTGCCTGCTCTCTACCCCAAGGCTGGGGGTGGGGTGGGGGCACAGGAGGGCATTTCAGCCCCTTTTTGCAGCCTTCTCCTGCACCATCCTGGGGAGTCCCGGGGGAATCCGAGGCACAGACTCACCCAAGGTCACCAAAGCTGGTGGAGTTCCTAACCACCTGAGCGCTACTGTCCCAGTGTCCGGCAGTTCGACGCCTTCAGCAGCCACTTGCTCCGGGGGTGCCGGGAGAATCCAGGACCCGCCTGTTGTAGGGGGACGAGAGCGGGCTAGGACTCCACTCCCAGCGCCGGCGCCTCCATCGCCCCAGGCGCGGGAGCTGAGTGACAACCCGGCTCCGCACACCGGGCAGGGGCGGGGGCGGCGGCACCGGGGCCCCCCCCCCCCCCCCCTCCAAACAAAGGAAGTGATTCTGGGGGAAAAAAGCTGGGAAAACGTGAGCTTTCGGAAGGATCTAGTGTCTGAATCCAGCCCGCAGCCAGACTGAGGCGCAGCCTCCGGGTGTCCACTCCCTCTTTTCTGGAAGCGGGAGCCCTGGCCCCCCTCCAAAGTCCCCTCCACGCCTCACAGGCGGCGCAGCACCTCACCTGCCGGGCTCCGAATGTTCCCTTCGCTAACACCACCCCAAATCCCGTCCTGTGACCATCCCAATCCAAAAACCCCCGCACTGGGATGCAAGCCAGCCCCGCACGTCCTCAGAAACTAACACCCATGGAGCGCGCCTTACTCTGCAGCCTTAGCCTGAGTCATTACACAAGATTTCTCCCTCATCTCTCTTTCGGAACTGCCTTGTAGTCTATTAGGAATTTCCATTTTACAGATGAGGACGCTGAGGCTCAGAGAAGTGACCTAGATCTTCGCTGTCAATGTCACCCCCTCTGCGTGCTCTCCTCTGCCCCATTTCTCCACTCCATAACAAAGCATAAAAACATAAAATGTGACTCTTCCAGTCCGTGGTACAGATGAAGCAGCACGCTCAGCAAAAGAAATGAATGAAAATCTCGCTTCTCTGTAAATCGTTTGTTAAAATCACAATTAAAATAAAATTTTATTTAAAAAAAAAAAAAAAAAAAAAAGAAAAAAAAAAAAAAAAAAGGAAAGGACTTCCACAGACAGTTTCACACACCAAATCATGAGGGAGCCAGAGCAGGAACCCCCAGAAGCACTAGAGTTGCACCCTTGCAGAGCTCTCTTGGCTGTGCCCCACCTGGTTCTGGACGGTCCCCTGGTATTTAAATGCCTCACAGGGGCCGACCAGGACCACCCTGGGGCAGACTCATCTAAGCTCAGAATAGATGTCTTGCAGGAACAGAGAGTTTGTGACTGGGTATCTAGAACGGGTCCTGTTGGGGGCAGGCAAAGAGAGCTGGGCTGGGGCTCCACAATGTCTCCTGGGCAGCTCCTGGCCTTTGAGCCCTTTGTTGGTCTCAAGATGCAAACAGAGAAGCAGGTTGAGTCTTCCTCAGAGGAGGAAAAGATAACCTTCATTTCTGCCTTCAGGGGGAGCAGGGAATCTATGACTCAAAGTGCAAAGCTGCAGTTCTGCCCAAAGCCATAATGTTTGAGGAACTAGGAAGTGTGCCCTCTCCTTTCTCCACTTTCTCCTCCCCTCCGCTTGCAGACTTCTTCAACACTCACAGCCTTCTGTCCGTCCCAGACGTGAGCATGCTGGTCTTGGCGTCCACCCCTCTGTCTCGAGTCCTTTCATCAGCCCAAGACCTTCTTGGTTTCCCCATTCATCCTCTCCAACTTCCCCCATGTACTTCTCTTCCTAACAATCACTCTGTCCACAGCATCTCAGAATCACTCCATTGTCAGAATTTAGGGCAGAGAGCAGGTGATTAGGGTCACTCTTTCTGGCCCTCGGCAACATCATCAACACTATAGGGTACTTTAGCCTCACACGGTACCCCCAAGCCCCATATACACACTCCTGCCTCTAACTCCTCTTACCTGTTGTGGACAAGCAAGAGATGTCGTTGTTACCTGCAACTTATATATACAATAGCTCTGAAGCCTGCTCTATCCTGAGCCAATTTCACTGTCTCTGACACACCTATCCCCATTACCCCAGTTACTGAGTCAGTCCATCTCATCCAACGTCTTTCTTTCTTGTGCTGTCCCTCCACCTTTCTAAGCATGATGTTTCTTCTCCAAGGACTGGTCCCTCCTGGCAACATGCCCAAAGAATGTGAGATGGAAGTTCTAAATCCTTGCCTCCAAAGGGCAGTCTGGTTTCACCCTCTCCATGACAGACTTGCTTGTTCTCCTAGCAGTCCGTGGCATATTCAATACTCTTCTCCAGCACCACAGCTCAAAGGCATTGATTCAACTTAGTCATTCATCCTTAGTCATTGTTCCAGCTCCTTGATGCATCACAAGTGATTGTGAAGACTGTGACATGGATCACTAAGGTGCACCTGAGTCTCCAGACTGACATCGTCGATCTTCAGTACTCTGGAGAGGTCCCCTACAGCGAATTTTCTCCAATGTAATTCATCTTTAATTTCTTGACTGTTGGTGCCAAGCAAGCTTGGGGAACCGAGCAAGCAGAAATTTTTAACAACCTCAATCTCTTCTCCATCTATTATGGTGCTGTCCATTGGCTCAGGGGGTTAGAATCTTTGTCTTTTTGATGTTGAGTTTCAATCCATAATGAAGACTGCAGTCCTTGACCTTTTGCAGAAAATGCCTCAGGTTCTCCTCTGTTTCAGCAAGCACAGTTCTGTCATCTGCACAATGCAGGTTGTTGATAAGTCTTCCGCCAATCCTGATGCCATGCTTCCCATCTACATAAGACCTGCAGGTAATTTGTTTTTTTCTCAGTTCTGGCCAAAATAAGCTAAAACCCTTTGCCCATCTCCCATGCCTGTATCCAGGGACAAGCCTCTCAGAGGACACCAGCCTGCAGAAACCGGCTGGCCAAGGTGGGGTCCTCCTTGTAAGCTGTTCTCTCATCAGAGTCTTCTGGCCAGAAGTATGAGTTCTGGGTGCTCCTGGGTAGCATGGCTGTCTGGTTCTGGGAGACAAGCATTTGCCTGCCAGTCAGAAGAGCCAGAAGCTGGTCTCTAACCTACACTCTATTACAAATCGTCTGTGTGGCCTCAGTCAAGTCGCCTTTCCTCTCCTGGACTCCATTTATGAATCCATAGTCTGTGACAAACTGATGTCTATATCACCCTTTTCTCTTCCATTACAAGGTGAAGGAAGATGCTCAGGGATGGATGTCATGAGGGGCTGGACCTTTCTCTCTAGAAAACTTCCACCCCGGCTGCCCCATCCAAAGGGAGATACTGGCCCTGTAGGAGGAGAGGATGGGACAAGGAGCCAAGGAAGGGACATCAGAGGTCTATAGTGGGAAGACAGCAATAAAGGTATGGGAAGAGTGGGTAGAAACACAGTATCCAGAATCCACACTGAGCCCGAACTATCCCAGGGTGTCCAGGACCCCCCACCTGGATAGCCCCCCACATCCCTGTCCTAGCATCCTCTGCACGCATGCTTCACCTGCCCCCTAAAAACTGGTTCCTCATCTCTATAGGAACACAGAGAGCAGCTCTGAAGAGTAAATGAGCTGACTCACGGGGAGTCACGGGATCAGTTCTCAAAAAAGGCAAGCAGTTGGCATATGTTTTGTTGTGTATATTTTTACCACGATTTAAAAGAATAATAATTAAAAATGAAAGACTGGCAGTCAGCACGAGGCTGGTTTAAAGGATATGATAAAGCAGACTCCCACACCTTTCTCTCAGTGTCTGGTGGGTTTGAACCATTGACCTTTCTATTAGTCTCTGTGCAACCCAGGCTCCTGAAAAGAGTAAAGGGAAAAGAGTTAGGGAATCTGTTCAGTGTAGTGAGTGAGGCTAAAGTTGGCATGAAATCCCATAGGCACTAGGTTTAGGCAATGTTAATGATGCTCCTATTTTGCAAGTGACTTTGGGGACAAGTTAATGGCACAGAGTACAAAATACCTGTAGTGCCTGGTCTTTACCCCATCATTTCCTTCTCTCATCTCTTTCTTCTTTTCCTCCCAGAGTCCCTGTCCTGGGTTCCTCCACCACCCTCTCAGCCTCTCCATTGCTCACAGGGCTGCAGGGCAACATGAGGGGAAGGTGAAGTGGAAGCAACTCTGCTGAGTAGTTCTGCCCCCCCACTTTCTCCTCCCCAGCTCCACTGCACTCACTCAACCCATCGCTCTCAAGTTGGGAGTGACTCATAGCTGATGTCAGGGTCCAGGTCTCTTGCTCATAACGCTGCTCTGAGTCTTTCAACAGCACCTAATAACAACAACGTAGCTGACCCAGGAGGTTTTCAGAGACTGTAAATCACAGGGGAAGAGAATGCCTATCTTTCACTCACATCACCTACCTTTGGGTTGGGAGTGAAACTTCCTATCCACGAGGCCACTAGAGCTCTCAAACTGCACTAAACAAACCCTCGTGGTCAAAAAGGGGCCTATCCAAGGAGACTAAAGCCATCCCTGAGGACACCAGCAAGGAAGTTGGTGAGGGAGCAAAGTTGGCTCTGTACCAAGGGACCTTGTAGTGACGGAGGAAGTTTAGGATGCACCTCTATCCCTTTCCAGCTCAATGCAACCCTATCAAACAGCACAGAACCGTCCACTTTTCCAGCCTGTAATCTGTCTTTACTGAGGCAGACTGCTTATCTTTCTCCTTCAGAGTGGCCAGTTCAAATCACAGACCTTTCAGCTAGTAGCTGAGTGCTAAACCACGGTGCCACCAGTACTCCTTTATCCTGCAAGCAGGATGGTATTTTGAGCCCTGGCCCATTTGGTAGCCGTCTTCTGGGCAGTGTGGGTGTGAGGAGGAGAGTCCAGTGCCGGCAGGTGGGATCAGACAAAAGGATTCGCTGGCATGGACACAGGCTTTGCCTCCACCTCTGAGACGCATCTGCTTCTGCAGTATCTTCCTTGAAGGCTTTCCAGATCCTTCCTTGAAGTCATTCCTCTTTCCTCCCCCTTCTTCCTCCTCAGATCTAGAATCTAGGTCTCCCTTTCTCACATCTTCCCTCCCTCCTTCCCTCTCCCTTCTCTCAGGCCAGAGACTCCTGTGGGGGAAATACCAGGTCTGTGAGGAAAATCAGGCCACACAACACAGGCTGATATTGTTACATGTGCCTACATGCATGTGTGTGTGTGTGTGTGTGTGTGTGTGTGTGTGTGTGTGTGTAAGCAGGCGAAGGATGAGGGTCTCTCAGTTCCCCCAGACATAGCACTAAATGAGCCTTACAGCCCAAATCAACAGTGTAGCTTGCTTCAATTCCCTTCTTAACCTCATCATCCGTCCGTTCATTCATTTCTATTCAACAACCAGCCACCAAGCC